AACATTTTTTAACATATATTTACTATGCCACGTATCTTTTGTCACACAGTGTAAATTTTAAACTAATCTTGGTTGATTCAATTTTTGAATTGATATAGTAAATTTTTATACCGATTTAACATTAAATTAACTTACAAAATAATTTTAAACTTTAAAAAAGTCTAATTTATTCTTTATTCTTTGTCTTTCTCATGATTCATTTCTCCTTCTCCACCCAATAAATCTCACCAGGTTCGCCTTTGTTAGAGCCTCAAGATCTTTTTCCTAGGTTTTCAACAAACTTATCAGTAATTGAGGAGATCTTCATGCCTTAAAATTTTATAACTTTAGGATGTATTATGATTTTATCTTTCTAAAATTTAAACTTAATGATTATTATATATATATATATATATATATATATATATATAATATAATATGTTATCTTTTATTTTTCTTTAATTTTTTTATATTTTTATATTTATTTATTATTTATTAATATATATTATTTGATTACCTAGAATCAATGGTGAAATAGATATTCATCTCTTCTTATAATCACCTTTCCTATTATGCACATAATAAAGATAATAAATATTGTGTTTCTTTTCTAATTAGTTTATATTTTATGATTTAGTTTGATAAGATAGTCTTAACTTATATAATTTTTCTTCTTATAAAAAATCATCTTCAAGAAGAAAGGATGTAATGAAATTTTTTTATTAAGACAAGATAATATGATAAAAAATCATTTTTAGTATAAGAAGGTGTTAGTAAAGAAAAAATCGATACGAGGATAGAAAGAACAAGAGAGAGAAAATCGAAGATTATATGGTTGGTTAAAAAATTGATAAATCGAAAAAACAGTTAGAAGACACCCGGTAACCACAAGATAGAAACACATATAAATCGAGAATCAGAATCGAGAATCGAAGGAAGAATATTTGATGTCTATTGTTGAAGAAAATCGAGAAATTAGAATCAAGTGTAATGTTAAGGTTAAGGGGAGCAATTCAAAGTTCTCGAAGATTGAAATCGAGATCAAGGGAAATGTCAACCTGCATGACTATCGAAATTATGGCTAAGTTATAAATTGAGCAACGGTTAAACACGTATATGGAACGTGGAAGCAGTTCTCTAAACCGTAGAACTAAGGGATGTGCACGTTGGATCGTGGTGGCAGTTTTTGTTAACTGCTCTTAGGAGGTTACCTGAAGGGTGCTCTATAAATAGAGCGAACAGTGAAGGAAAAGGGGAAATTGGCAGAAGCAACAGAAGTGCAAGTGAACCGTCTACAGGAGAACGACACATTATGAAGTTTCTAATGCTCTGGATTTCTGTTTTCATTGATTATCTTTATCACTTTCTTTACTTTCTCTGGTAATTTACTTTCATGCAATTTACGTTTATTAATTCCCTGTCATTTACATTTCCACAATTTCGATTCCTTGCCATTTACACTTAATGCAAATTTGAGATTTCCGCATTTTACATTTCTCTGCAATTTAATATTACTTTTACTGTTTTCTTTACTTCGCGTTTCTTAATAAAAAATACCACAAATAGTACGTTCGATTGTCAATCTGTATGATATGTTGCGTTGTTAACATTTCTCAATACTATGGTATCTTCGATTGTCATACATGTTTCGATTGAAAAACTAGTTGTTAGTCTAAGTTAAAAGAATCTGTGTGGTTGAAATTTGGTTAGAACTTAAGTCTCCGAGAAATCGAAATCGATCAAATTTTCACCAGAAACAGGAGGTTACAAAAAAAAAAACCTATTATCCAGAGCCCCTCTTATTTATATTCACTAGTGCAAAAATGACATTTTACGTCACCCAATTGTCGTCGCATGTCAAAATATTCGACGTAAATAAAACGCGGTGGCAATTTTGTAAATAAGAGGTGAAACTTTTACGTCGCATATTGTAGGAGGTGACGTTAAAAACCTCTTTTACGTCGCACCTGGTACAATACGACGTAAAAGAGAGCTTTTTAAGTCGTGTGGGGTGTGCGTGACATAAAAAGTGATACTTTTTACGTCACGTGGGGGGTGTGCGACGTAAAAAGTATCATTTTTTACGTCACATGGGGGTGCGCGACGTAAAAGAGGCTTTTTACGTCATGTGCTAGGGTGTGCGACGTAAAAAGTTCTTTTTATTCTCTTCCATACCCACTCCCGCATCTCGCGCCGCAAGGGTTTTTTAGAACGACAATGAGAAAGACGACGACAACTACCTTTCCACACCATTTTCGATCATTTTGGCAGTGAAGAACATCAACATTGTGTCTCATTTTATGAATTTGACATTTCTCCCCGATTGGATTCGAGTTTGAAATCGTTTTCGTGTTTACTCGAGGTTAGTGTTCTATGTCTCCTGATATATGTTCAAATTGAATCCGTGATTATTTTTGGGGATCTCAATCACGTCATTGTATGAATGTCTTCACTGGATTGTTATTGGAATGTCATTATTTTGTTTGAGTGCATTTTCGGTTTACACACTCCATATACGTGCTTTGTTGTTTGTATATTAATTTATTTTTAAATATAAATTTTGAATCTCTAGGAGTGACGAAACTTTATAACATAATATGAATCGAAGTTGGATGAATGCACGTCGTATTAGTGAAGAGTACGAAAAGGGAGTTGATGAATTTTTGAAATTTGCTAGTGAAAACGGAAAAGGTATTGAATAATATATGAATTTTTTTCATTTAGAATCGTGTCTATAACTAATGTTCTAAGTGGAAAACCCAGAACAAAGACTTTACAGTTCATTTATCCTAAGATTAGAAACTTATTATAATAATTGAATACCATAATTATTGTTTGTATTTAAATTTTGAAAATAACATTATATTTTATTCATTATTTCGATGTAATAAGCAAACGAGACTCATTTGAATGTGGTTATTATGTTATGTATTGGATGAGAGCCATAGTTTGTGCGGGTATAAGCTGATTCTTGGACGAAGGTAATTGCTTTCGACATTAGTTAAGTTTATTTAACTTTATGTGTGTTGCATGTTTACAAGAGTCAAATTAATGTTTCGGGTATTTCAAGATCTATCTCCATTGCCAGAATATGATATCACACAAATTATAGAATAATGGGCAAGGTTTTTCGTTCAACAATTCTAGTACTTAATTTTTTAGGTTATTGTTTATATTATATTGTGTGTATTATGTAGTTTAGGTAGCTTAGTTTGTACTAACTTTTAGTTTGTATTAACTTTTAGTTTGTAATAGATATTAGTTTGTAGGTTATTATTTGTATTATATTGTTTTATTATGTAGTTTGAATTATATATAATATTATATTTTTTAATTACATAGCTAAAGAAACCTGAACCTCTAGATTGTTTAGTTATAATATATATTTGCAGGTTTTGGTTGTAAGACAAAATAAACCCAATTTGTTTTAAAAAAGGAGCAAATTTACGTCGCATATTGGTATACGCGACGTAAATTTACGTCGCATATTGGTATATGTGACGTAAATTTACGTTGCTATTCCAATATGCGACGTAAATTTTAATACGTGACGTAAATTTGCTCCAAATTTTTTAATTTTTTATACTTTTTACGTCTGTTTAGTGTAAATGCAACGTAAATTAACGTCGGGTCTCGATAATCGACGTGAATTTACGTCAGGCTAAGGGTCCAACGTAAATTTACGTCTCCCGTTTTAACGTCAGTCTTAAATGCGACGTAAAAAATCTAAAATACCTGACATAAAAACTCTTTTTTGCACTAGTGATTATATTTTTATTATTTATTACACTTTTAAAAGTTTGATAAAGGTCGATACTCTAACCGATAAACTATTCGGATATTCTAATAATAACTTATAAATAAATTATATTTATATTGATATGTGTAAATATATAAATATAAAATATATAAATACAAATATATTTATATATATATATTTATATATATATATATATATTTATAAATAAATATAACTTATTTGTAAGTTATTATTAAAAATTCTTATTAGTTTAGTGGTTTGGAGTATTGATCTCCAACTCTAAGGTATTGGGTTTCAATCTTATTAGTGATCTAATTTCCCTAAGAATTTTTATCCGTAAGTATTATTTTGTTGATAATAGGCTTCTTCTCTTTTTGTAGTGGGTGTGATAAAATCTCGTATTAAACTGTTTTTACATAATTAAGTTAGATAGATCATAGTTTTTAATATCATTTTATAAATATTGTGAATGATCATAACATAAAATGTTTCTATGTTAAATTGTTCATTATGTTAATTTTTTAAGTTTATTGTTTGATTAAGATATCTTTGAGAAATAAGATAATAGATAAAAATTGTTACTAAATTTTTATGATAATATTGTGTTAAGAATAGATATAATAATAATAACATTTAATAGATTGATTATTTTCAATCCACGTAGAAAATTTAAAATAACTAATACAGAAAATCTTTCCAGCATTTTTTTTTTCATTTCTCTTTTGTTATCTTCTAATTTCTCCCTTAATCACAAAGTAACATGATTAGTTTGTTACTTTCTTACCTTATGGTTGTGTGCATTATTGTGGGTAACATTTTGGAACTCAATAATGAAGGTGTTAAATATGGCCCGCTACCTACGACCGCAGCCGCGTTACTCGGTATGAGGAACCCCATTTGGTGTAGAATGGACAAAACTCAATTGATTCTCATGGCGTGGTTCAATAAAATACAATCATTTCAAGACAAGCTATGCAAACTAGGTGTGCAAACAGATTCAGTACACCATAGGGTTATAATGGTGATCATCACAACAGGGATGATTAATTTCGCTGTTCACATCGATCGAATTGAAACATTTTGCTACAGGAAAAGCTTATGTCCACTTTCTCCCACCGCCAATCAACAAAATCTTCTATTCTAATCCTTATTGTATGTTGTTGGGGGTTTAACTTTAACATGCTTTGACTTGTAGAATAGAATAGAATACACATCTCTTTCTCCACGAACTTTTGTTTTTCAAACCAGAGCCGCAATGGTACTATGCAATCTTATATGCTTTACGCCAATGATTCATTGGTCTCATGAGTGGGACTAGGTTTAATCTTCTCTGATGGTTGTAACTGGAAAAAAAAACGTAATTAAAAGAAGATATTATACTAAAAAGTGAACAATCAACCAGGTTCTTTCACAAAATTATAGTAATTGACAAAAACTTGGAGTTGTATTTGGAGGGTGAGCACAACCACCAAGGCTTTAATTCTGTTGGTGAGTATAGAGAAGAAGCAGACGAAACAATACAGATTCATACTTGCGTGTTTGGAGGCGCTTAGCATTGTCATTATGGCGTGTGACATTGACGCACCCACATAAACTGGCCCACAATTTGTGGCCATTGAATGAGCCAAGCCAAGAACTAACCTGTGTGGTCCATGGCCACAACTGCTCCTTTTGAGGTACTGTCGGAGTAGCAAATGCCATTTAATCCTCATCTTGCTCATCGTTTATCCATGCATGAGAGATTCCTGTGTGTCTCCATATAATTCTCATTATATCATCATCATCATGACCTACCCCATTATTTGCCATTTATATTTGAAGGTAACTAAATGAATGGAATAGTTAGAAAGCTAGCACAAAATGGAGATTCTTTAATGAGAATTGACAGTGGTGTGGTATGTATATGATATGTAATAGTAATAGTAATAGTCATATATAGAAGTGCAGAAGCAAGGAATATGAGTTAGATAAAAATAACTTTTCCAGATGTTTTCCTTTCATTTTAATTGACAAGTGAGGATGGAGACACTTTTTGTGGACCTATAACACAATGATTATTTAGGCCACCATGCAACAGTCACTATTGGTTGGTTGGAGGAGCACTCATTTAAATGGAGCTATTACTAATCAAGTGTATCAAATCAGGGTGAAAAGCATGTATATATATATATATATATATATATAGTGGTTAATGCCTAGCAAGGGAGCTATGTCCTCCCTACACTAAACTTTTCCTCAAACCAACAATTTAGTGTGTGTTTGTATCTTTCTTCAATATACCTTACCCATCTAACACCTTCTTCCTCTTTTATTTTTTTATCAAAAAGTGTCAAACCTTTTGGTTAATACAAAATAGAATTATAATGTTTGTTTTTTATTTTTTTTATGTCAGATATAAGTTTGATACTAATACAGGAGACATAATTAATTCAATCAACTTACAACGGTTCTAAGATAATTTATTTTTTTAAGGAAAATGATACTTTGACAACCTAAATCCATACAACTCCTGTAAACAACTCTGCTTTTAATATTATAATAATAGTTTTACTTTATTTTTATTTTATTAAATCAGTCTATAGATTATTATATTAATAAAAGTGAGTTGTTTATAAGGGTGGTATGGTTTTTGGTTGTCAAAATATCACCACTCTTTTTTAAGTTATGTTGATATAATTAATTTTTTTAATATTAATAAATTTTTAGTTGTTAAAAATATTGTTTTATAAAATGTTAAACAGTGTTTAAATTAATTTAATGTAAATTTATATTCAAATATCTATTTCATTGTAACATATAACATCTTAGCTTTTCTAACGGTAAAACTAGCGATTCATAAATCAAGGAATATGCCTCGTGCGGGCTTGAAAACTATAACTTTAGAACTGCCGTAAATTATGTCTGTGGAAACAATTTTTGAAATGATTATACTATCTTGACATATATTCATTTTAATATGGAACTAGAATTAGAGATAAAAATATTTAACTAATATTATTGATTAAGCTAGAAAATATTTTAGTTAAATTTTCTGAATTAGAACCCAAATTGATTTCTAATATCAACTACTAAATCATTAAATCGGAATATAATTTTAAACCTAGTTAATGTTAGATACTGATTCATAAATCAATTTAGAATAATTTTTAACTTAATCAATAGAATACTAAAATGTTTTTGTCTTTTAATAGTCGATATTTAATAACTTTTGTTTTAGAATATATATATATATATATATATATATATATATATAGGATAAAAAATTATTTTATATAACTAAAATTTATAATAAATAATTTGGTTTTAAATATGTATAAATTTTTATATTAAAATTTACTAGTAAATAATTTAAAATATATTTTACATTTATATTGTGATATGTAGTTATTTTTAATTGTTGATATTTAAAAAAAACACATTGAAATTAATTTAGAAAATAAAACTGAAAATGATTAAATAAAATAAGATGTTAAAAAATCTTAAATCTCCACGTACTAAATAAAAACATTAAAAACACTGTTATTTAAAAAATAATTCATAAAATCATTATCATTGAAAAATAGTTAATTCAATTTGTATGTATAAGGATTTCTATTTAGAATGAAATTTGCAAATGATTGATTGCAATGACTTTGACATTTAATTTAATTAATAAGTCGAAGTATATATCAAATTAAGTTGCAATTCAATATACTTTGTTGGTATTACAAAAGTATGAGGAGAAACATAAAAATATTTATACATTGAAGGTAGAGAGAGTAACATGGTCCATCAAGATTAATGAATGATAAAACTGATATATTATATATGTTGAAATTGATTAAGCTTCTATTTGAATTTGTACGAGACTACAAAGTGATTGGATTGAATTTGTGAGATTATTTGAATAAAGAGAAAAATAGTAGATTTAAATAAATTTAAAAAAAATTATTGTTACTGATTTGATTAAATATAAGATAATTGAATAATAATATTTTTAATATAATGATTAAATTACCTTATTAAAGAAAATGATATATTTTTACGAAAAGTTTTGATTTGAAATTACTCCTTATATACTCGGTATTGACCATAATTTACAATAACATTTTGTAGTCCTAGTAAGAAGGGGGACGATTAAAGATTTACCCGGTATGAGATATCACATTGTTCGAGAAACTCTAGATGCTGTAAGAGTAAAGGATCGTCAACAAGAACGTTCTAGTACATTGTAGATTCTTATCCAAGACTTGTATAATTTGAAAATGGTGAAAAAAAATTAATTATAATAATTCAGACATTTATTACTTAATTACTCACCATCTATTATTCAAAATCTATTCAAATCATGAGAACTAATCGATATTTTCATAAATCCCCTCTTTCAAATCCTTTATTAGGAATAAGTAAAAACAAATAAAGCATAAAATAAATGGAATTAGACTAAGAAATGGGTAAAAAGAAAATAAACAAAAAAGTTCAGGGAGAATGGTGCGAAGCTGCATGGTAGTATTCCTGTGAGGCCAATTCATTTTTTCTTTCTTGCTGGATTTTTTTTGTTGATGGTTTGTGTGAGTTCTTGAATGGTGGTGTTTGAATGACTCATGGTGGTAGTTTCGCGTTGTTCGTAGCGGAGACGTGACTATTTAATTGTGTCCAAAGTAAAAGATATAATAAATAATTGGATATAATAAAAAAGAAAAATAATATAAAAACAGCATCATAGAAATACATAAATATCTTGGTTGGTGCAAAATTAGTGTCTTAGTGAGTGATACGTAAATAATATTAAAAAAAGAAAAATGACAAAGGTAGGTTGTGCCCATCATGGGCATCCAAAATGAAGCTTCTAATATTAAATAATGGGAGGGTAGACATAATTTCAGTCATATCCTCTAATCCACTTTTTCAAGGGTAACTAATAGATTCCTTCATTTAATTATCTTCTTGATAAGATATTTGTCACTAAAAGTGATGTTAACCAAGTTCTTAGATGTAATTAAAACGAAATCTCATCTGTCACTAAAATTATTTATCACTAAAACCTCGTAAAGAAAAGACCATTAATCGCAAACAAATCCATAATTATATAGCATTTCGTCATTTATAATTATTTGTTGTCCTTGTATGAAACTAATGATTTTTTTCACAACGTCATTGATATTTTTTTATATAAGATAATTCAATAAAATTTAAATAATATTTTTTAAACATTTGATACAGTTATACGTCTACAACCCCAACTAACATCAATTTTATCTTAATTGACTGAATTATGCCTATATAATTCATCTTAAAATTATAAGAGATATAAAATAGAAGATAAATAATAGATAGATATATAATTGCTTAAAAGAAAAGATTGGTAAAATATGATAGATATAGTGTAATAAAAGAGATATTGTATAAATAATATAAATAAAAATTCTACGATAGCTAAACAAATTTTTTATATGTTTTAATTTTTGGTTTAAAATATGTATTATTTAAATTATTTGTTTAAAATATTGTAAAACAAAAGTGAAAATAAAGATTTGCTTAAAAATATGTTACATCAAATTAAAATGAATGATGTACCAAATAACTTAAGATAAGAATAGAATTTTTCACTATGATAGAAAAGTTTAAGTTCAATTTATATTATTAGTGGATAAAAACAATTAAAAGATGTAAGGTGATTATAATTTTTTTTTATATAGATTTATATTTATTTTTTCATTAATTTTTTTATACGTTGTCATATTCATTTTTATCTCTTTCTTTTTCCTTCTCTTTCGAATCAAATTGTCATTATTCAACTAAGAAAATACTGTGAGAATTATTTCAATGATTCATCTTAATATTTCTCACAGGTATGCTTCATAAGTGTCAAATTCGAAATTGCAAATTTTCCTCTATGATGTGGTTTTAGAATTTTTGTTTTTGTTTTTTTTTTCATTTGGGTTACAATTCTCATCACACTCTTTTTCTGGGTAAATTTTGCTTATCAAAAACAATTGTGAGGGACTAATTTTATTGGAATTAACTTAATATATATTTTTAAAAAAATTACAGTTTTGTAAGAGTGATTAGAAAAAATATCTTTATTTTTTTAATGATTGTAATTTATTATTTTATTACAAATAACAAGATATTTAATTAGATTCTACAAATTTGATTTAATATAATGATGATTATGCCACCTATATATTATAATGTTATTCATATATCTTCTCATATTAAAAGCAATTTTTCATATATCACTAAAATAAATTTTAATGTCATATTATAAAATAGATTTTAATGTCATATTGAAAATTATGACATACCTAATTTAATCTTATAAAATCAATTTAATATTATACTCATAAAATAGATTTTTCATAACTTATTTTTTACTATTAAATTAAAAAAAAAGAATAAAGATTGGTCCGTGTAATAATGGAATATTTTTTATGAGAAAATGTATATAACTTTAACCCATTTTATTCTAATTTATTGCATGCATAAGTTTATTTTGCTTTATTTCTCATAGTTGGGAAATTATTAATGATTGTTCAATTTAAATTAGGAAAAAAAAAAGAGTTAAGGAATGTGTATTTGGATGTGATGAGTAAGCAAAATACCCCACACATGTTGTAATCCACAAAAAATAACTAGAAACAGGACATTAAGGGACCGACAACGAAATTAATTCAAACCAACTTTTTATTTTACCTTTCCAAGCAAAGATAAGAATTCAT